ATGGCTAACCAGCACAGCCAAAATATAGAAAAGCCTTGAAGAATATCGTAGGGATTAAATCTGGATAATTTAAATTAAAATAAAGAAAAAGTGTTCTTATACCTGGAAATCTTAAATATTCCAAAGTTAAACAGTAAGGGCATAGTAAAAAGCACAAATTAGAAGTATCAATTCAAAATATATTTTAAAAGATTTATATTGCTAATTTCTAGTATCTTTTCTCTTTGAGTAAATTTACAAAGTTAGAACAGATTTTGAACATTATCCATAATAAAATATTGTAGGTACAAAATTTTAATTAAATTTTGTTCCTTTTCAGTCAGCTTCTAAAACGACGGGAGGTATCTGTACCCCTGAAAATTGAATGGCTCTCTGATGAACTAGATGCGTGGAGAGCTTGTACACAGTTAGTCAAGTAAGTGTAAAATGCAAAATTGTCAGAGTGGAGATTGCTGCCATGTAAATATGCATATTTCAATAAAACTTTGATTTTTTTTTTCTTTCTAGAATTTGAAAGCCTGTTCTTATGTAAAAACAGAAAGTATTTTGAAATCTGTGGATCCTGAGTTGAACTGCAAATGAACAAGTTTAAAATATATGTTTTGCTCACAGATCTACCGATGAATCACCATATACCCCTCCATCAGACTCCCAGAGAATGATTTATTCAACACTTGTATCACGAATGCAAGAGGAGCCTCTGAAAGGACTGATTGGACCGGATTATGTCACTGGATCTAATCTTCCTAGTCACTCAGATGTTCACATCTCTTGTTTAACAGGATTAAGGATACAGGTATTTTTTCAGAGCCATATTCCTTTGGATTACTGTCTTAAAAAGTAACTCTTACGTGGTCATGCGAGTTTCTTTTAAGTGAAAAAGCACAAATGGAAACTTGTAATGATTGAGGCTTCCAGGGTTCTCAAAGAATAGAATCTCTAAAAAAGAAAAAGGGAGATTGTAGAGTATTCCCTTTGACAAAAGCTGCCATTTTCTGTTAACTATGCTTTAGATAGAGTTTATATGGTTATATAGTTTTAATGAGGATGAAATCACCACTTGGAACAGTCAAAAATTGTTCGCAGCAGTCAAAACTTGAAACACAATTGCTGTTATTAAAGTAAATGTGAGCCAGTGGCTACCTTTTCACTTTGGTTTGAATTGAAAACAATGGAAGGACTATATCAAATAATATTTCTTCTTATATTGTGCATTTCTAGAATGCCAAGCATTGTAGTATCTGAGCCATTAAATTAAATAGGGTGTCAAAGATACGGCCTGTGGGCCTCACCTGGCTTATGAGCCGTGTCATCTAGGCTATGGGGTTCCTGGAGGAGCTGACAACATGGGGGTGGGACAAGCAGGCACAAAGCCCACTACCAAAAATTCAAGGTATGTTGAGGATGTATTTAGGTAGCACAGGCAGGCAACAGCTCTGCAAATTCCCATGGCTCCCTGGGTCTATAGTCAGACACGATCTAAGCAGGGTGCAAGGCCCTTCCCCCGGACACAAGGAAGCCGGCAGCAGATTCAGCAGCAGGGAATGCCAAGCAGCCAGACGTGAAGCTGCCGGCAGCACAGAGTTGCCACTCTGCCCAGCTCCACAGGGCCCCCCAAAGCGTGGGGCCCACGTCGATTGCCCCGATTCGCTCCCCCACTAGGAATGGCCCTGTCTACAGTGCTGCTTGCCCTGCCACCAGAGGTGGGTCTCGATTTGGCTTGTGAGGCACCATGCAGTTTCAGTTTAGCCCACAAGAGGCTCCATAGTCTGGATCTGGCCTGTGGGGGCTAATTCAGGGGTTGACATCCTTGAATTAAAGCACACATCAGCAATAAGTAAGGAGAAGATACGAAGGCTAAACATTCAGACACGAGTATCATTTTTCAGTATTTATTACTTGTGTAGCTTTGTGACCAGCATGTTCAAACATTTATTTTCACCATGCCACTGTGAGGTATGTTGTTGCTGCCATTTTTGGAGATAGGGAAAGGGACTCAATTTTGTTAGGCTCATTTATTTACACTTATAGGAAGCTAAGTCCATGTGGTTTGCCCTATCAGTAAGAGCCCAGGCCCATAGAGAAACAAGGCTGCCTACGGTGCCTGTTGTAAGGCGCAGGTATAAATAACTATAGTTTGGGAATACATCAGTATTATTGTAAAATGCATCAAACTCAAATCTTAGGGAACGTAAAACAGGTCTGTTTGCCTGGTAAGTGTAGTTCTCTAAATTGAGTATGGAAGTTTTAATCAGAGTTATTATTAGGTGTAACTTTTTAAGCTGGGTAAAGCTACTGTATAAAGTGAGGTTGCATCAAGTCAAAATATACATTTGTTTTTACTAGATTGCAGCTTCTCTGCAAATATGATACAGGATATGTATCTTCTCTTTCTTCCCTTTCTCAAACATTCTTATTTTACAGGGACCTGTGTTTTTCCTTGAAGATGGAAAATCAGTTATTTCTCTGAATGATGCTTTGATGTGGGCCAAAGTGAATGCCTTCTCACCATTAGGAACAGGAATACGGCTCAACCCATTCTAAGACTGTTTTCATTGTAACCTCTAGTGATTGAAATGAGCAACATCCTGAAGATTAATATTAATTTTAATCTTGATCATCAAGGACAAAGATGGCAGTTCCTTCCTCCTGAAGGATAGTTACTTGAATTTTACAAATTGTAAAAAAGAAAAGGGTTTTTTTAATTAATATATAAGTTATTTGATAATCCAAAGAAGAAAAGTTATTTGATAATCCAAAGAAAAAAAAGTCCTAATTTACGTAATTGACAGCCATGGGGTTTTTTTTTTAGAAAGATGTGTACTGTTGTCAGACAACACAAACATAGTTCAGTAACTCGTATGCAAACAAATAACTTGTAAAGCAAGTAAACAACTGTCTACATTATCAACATACGAGGTAACCAAAACTGTGAAATTCATAAAACATGTTTGTAAATACATCATTATACAAATGATTTATGCTTTTATGGATAGTCATGGTAATGCATCTATTTTTAGAATGACCAAAAATCTGTCTGACTTTCATTCATCCTGTATCCCCTTTTATCTTTAACAGTAAAATGTGATTCTCAAGTGAAAGTGTAAATTAAATAAGTTCATAGCCAAAAAAACCTCCGATTTTTAATTAAGACATATTTCCATGGATTAAATATTTAGCTTTACCAGTAATAAAGATAAGTCAAATATAGCAGCACTGTTTGTTTAGTTATGTTTTGATGAATACCTTGATTAGAGTAAATCAATATATTTTCTAGTAAGATCATCTTTAGCAACTTTCCCTATTATATTTGAATGAGATAAAAATGCATTTATGAACCTTTTAAAATCAAGGTTGTAAGTACTGAACCAGCATATTTAATGAAGAATTACTGAAATCCATTATGTATATTAATAACATTGTGTTTTTTGGATTTTGTATAGGCTGTAAAAAGCATATGGTATGAAGGACCTGATACTCAGGCATCGCTTTATTTAGTTACAGTTGGTTAGTCAAGACTTATGATCTGTGCCCAAATTAAACTAAATATGATGGCAATAGAATCTGAGTAGTAGTGAAATTGTAAAGTTGTGTGTAACATCAAACACTACCATGAGGAAAAAAAAGTCCCATATTCTTAGCCAGAAGTACTTTTCCGTAAAGTAGCATTAGAGATCCCTTGGGTCTAGTGCCTAGTCAGTATGTTGATAACACGGTGAAAAGAACATACCTTACCTGCTCTGTCTCCCTTGTTAAAATAGTTCTAGCTATTGTATAATGAAAGATCAGAAAATGGCTGAACAATTTTTAAAGAATCATTCCGAAATAAAAAAACCCCACAATATTGAAAACTCACAAAGATGGCAGTTTCAAGTAGCCTTTATCTACTTGCAGCCTTGCAAAACTTAATAGAATATAATCAATCCTCACAATACCTTAGTGCAGGGAGTGGCAACCTGTGACTTGTGAGCTGCATCCAATCTGCAGAGCCATTTGATCCAGCCTGTGCTGTCACATGGAGAAGTGGCACAAGCGAGATCCTAGTGTCCGCTCATCTCTGACTCAAACTGAGGCATTTGGCCTGCATCCTAAAAAGGTTGCTAACCACTGCCTTAATGAAGTAATAGTCTTTTTATAAATGGGTGAAATGCGGCAGAGTGATCTGCCCAAGGCCAGAGAGGAAGTAAATAAAAACCAAACAAACAAACTGGTAACTCAGGAAATCCTGGCTCCCAATGCACATATTATTGTCCATGTCTCATTCGTTATGTTGGTAAAATAATTTTCAAAATTGTTAAAGGTATATTCATAGTTTATTCTACCAAGGAATTTTTGGTATCACAAAGACAAAATATGAGATCTGTTTTGTATGTCAGCAGCGTACACCACACATTTTTCACACACACTTATCTGTTCATTGGAATTAAATGCTTTACTTTATTGCATCCATTATTTAGCCATTGTTTCCCTTTTATATATTTAATTCTCTGTGTAATTTGCATATTCTGTTGCAATTCCGGAAAAAAAAGGATCCATAATACTAGTTTGTTGAAGAATTATAGCTTCTTCAGCTACAAATATATCTGATGGATTATTTTTGCCTAATGAACAATAAATAATGGTCTTGTTTTATGGGATTTATGCAGCCTTTGTATATGTGGAAAAGAAATATAGGTACTTAAGAGACTGCAGGGAGGAGTGACAGGAAATTATTATGAAGCTCTATATTTATTTACCTGAATTTGGATCTAAAAGACTGACTCAGCTGTCATCGTGCTCTTCTTTAAATTTCTTGTAGTGTCCTACAGACTGATACTGAAATTTCAAGATATAAACATATTGCAAACATGTAGTGTAACTGCATAAATGTGTGGAAGTTGTGCCTTAATATGGAACCTGAAATAAATCTATCCTCTTTAAATTACACATTGAGGAGGGTAATTTATTCTTTTCATTATTAGGTTTAGAGTATAAAAATTGAGTCAAAAGGCACTTTTTAAATGAGGAAAATGTCAGGTAACAGTCATTGTCAACAAAAATGATGGTGCATTTACTTTATGGTAGTCTTTACCATATATGGAGAAGAAAAAACTGAAAACTGTTGTTGTAAGAGGTACATTTATTGTAACAACTCTAGTCACAACTGTTCAAACATAGCTGTATCAATGTTTTTAAAACAATTTCAGGTTGTTTGCTAAAATGTGACTTCACTGTCAAGCAGAACTGATCAAAAAGAGGTATTTCCCCTTGAAATTAAAAACCTTTCTCATTTCTTCACCTTCAAACAATGTGTGTTTTTTTCTATAGTGTTACCTTTATAGCATTCCATAAGAAGAAATGTTATTTTACATATACTTTTGTCTAGCAGGTATCAAAAAGATATTCTAATTTTAGAGACTTTGGGGTAAGTTTTAAACTAGTAAATTACCTCTTAAAATCCTTTTTGTCAAAGTGATAATGGATTTTTCAAAATTGTTGCAGTTGTTCTGTGCTTCACTGAGTGGAAAGCAATGCCAAATGTTAAACTGTAAAACCAGACTCTTGTTCCTATTACTTTCCTTGTGTTTAAAACTGTCTTTAAAACTGACATGTCTCTAAAATAAGACTCCAGACCTGTTCATTTTTGAGACATTTATAAGATGATGATCACTAATGAAATGTTGCAGCCTTAACAATGGATGCAATATCTTTTAAACCAATCAGAGCAATATTTATTTCTCCAAAAAAGAAAACTTCTTAATGTATAGCACTTCCTTCAGAGTTGTATATTTATTAAGGCAACAGAAGCCAGAATTAGCTTTGATTTAGATAAAATTAACCATAAAACACTTATTCCAAACAAAGGAGTGATTAGTAAAAAGACAATTCACACTTTTATAATATGCCAAGGTACAAAGACACCAGGCACAATCGTCAGATTTATTAACCTCGGCACATTCCACAAGGTACAAAAAGGTCATACACCATCATCACTGAAAACCTTAAAAGCAGCATTTCAATAATAAAGGATTTGAAATAGTAAGGCCATTCACTCTAATCAAGCCTAAAAGGGACCTAGGTTGTAACAGCAAGTACAATACCAAGTCAGTGAAGACACCCTTCTAAAAACAGGAAAACTCTGATGATAGGTTTTAGATACTGCTTTAGAGACATTTAAGCTTGTTGCACTTTTTAATGCATACCAAGTTTTAAATGGCATTCACTAGAAGGAAACAATATTCTACTTACCAGACACTGAACCCAATCAGGGTGTCTTCCTCTTCCCCCCCCCCCCCAACAAATTGGTTTTATAAGGGATTTATAATCAGTGTTTGTTCATTTCAGAAGTCAGACCTCTCCAAGATTACTTTCCAGTGTTCAGTTAGTTCTTTTCTTGAGATGCCTGGAATGCCACACTTACTCCACAGACAAAGAGGATCTGTCTGCTTGTTTCACTTGGATTTCTTTGAAATGAACAGAAGTTTTTCTTCTGATTTCTGGTAGACCCACATCTAAGCAAAATAATTAGCAAGTGATAAATGAATACTTATTCAAAAATCACTATTTAACAATTAAAAAAAAACTAGACTGGGCAATGTCATTTTAATAAGTATATTACAGGAATATTTTCTAATTTGAATATAATTTTAGCTCTGCCATGAGCAGTGTCATTGTCCTAGGGTAAAGCTGCTTATACTGCTCTAGCTTCTCTCTTCCTAGGAAAAGGAATCAACAGTTTTATACTAAAGGTGCACATTGGTCCATAGCATATCAGTACTGGTAAAAGGAAAATTGACATTGGCAATCGGTTTTTTTTTGGCTGATGTGGCCAATTAATGTCACCAATAAATGGGCATGCATATGCACAGCCGCAGCATGCAGACGGCCAGCCTGGCAGCTTGCAGAGCAGTGATCTGGTAAGTCTGTTGTGGGGAAGGGACGGGGAGAGGGAAAGGACATGGGGTAGGGCCAAGGCAGATCAAGGCCTCTGCTGTGAGGGAATGATGCAGGGGCAGGTGCTGCCCAGCTGGTTCATCCAGGGGGCGCAGGGAGGGGAAGGACAGATCCCACCATTGCACACACCCTGGGGAGAGACCAAGGGGGTGGTGCGCCCCTGGGATCTGTATGCAGGGCAAGGGGTGGGCTGATGCTGGGGCCAGGGGCAGCACTGGGCTCTTCTCAGCACAGGGGGGCTGGGCCAGGGCTGCGCTCGGGATGGGTGGTGGTAGAACTGCAAGGTGGGTCTAAGGAGGGAAAGCTACAGCAAATTTTGAGAGGGCTGTAACCCGTCTCATAGCCCACCACGCCCCAGCGTCACTGCTGCCCTCCCTGAGCGCAGTCCCAGCCCAACCAACCCCTGCTGGGAAGAGCCCAGCGCTGCCCCAGTCCACAGCAAAGCCTGCCCTGCACACAGAACCGGGGAGGTGGGGGTGCCCCACATGGCTCCCCTCGGGGTGTGCACAGTGGCAGGATCCACACCCCCAGAGAAGTTGCTCGCGGTTCTGTCCGACACTCCACCCTGCCCTGTCTGGGTAGGCCTTACCCCAGCCCCACTCCCTCCCTCACTGCAGGCGCCTCAATCTGTCACCTCTCCCCCATCCCCCACAAAAGACTTACCAGCGGGACGGTGCTCTCCAAGCAGCTGGGCTGCATACTGCCAATCAGATCAGTATTGGCCAATATGGCTCATTAACAATTGGCCATCGGTACCAGCCTAAAATATCTTTATTGGTGCACCCCTACTTTATACTGATAATTGAATCTCATACAAGACTTAGATTAATTTAACCTATTTGTATAAACAGTTATGTGCCACAACAAAAAGAGATGAAAGAATACAACTGTTTGGATCACATGACACTTTGAGATGGACTAATACTTGAAATTTGTAGCTGCTCTCCTCCATTATCACACATACAGATTCTACACTGAAGAACTGATACTATCTGTGGTACTAAGTAAAGTCAAAATTATAAACCAAGACTCTACCACATGAAAGAAAAGCCATTTTGAATCCTGAATATAAGCAAATATTGTGGTTGCCAAACCACAGAGGTAGACTTGCTCTCAAAGGGAAGTTATATGAAAAAACATTAGTTTATAGCTGAAATGGTTTAGTTTTAAAGCTACAGATTTTAGTAAAAATACACCTGTATGATCAAGGTATACCACCTGAATAGTGTAAATCCCTAACCATCTGAAGGAATGCTTGGAATGACTACTTACAGGACACAGAAGGAAGTTTTTCCCTTTGGCTATTAATGATCATCTCAGTAGAAGCAAGACGACAAGGATGACGAACAGCACGTTCTCCCAAGCTTGGTTTCACGTTAAACCGCTCTAAAAAACAAGAAATCACATTCTGCTTGGTATAGCAGAGAGATGTTCTGGTCTTCATGTTTTACCAGGTCAGCTCTTAATTTGTTTATTTAAAAAAGGCAAGGATTTCTTGGGGTGATATCTTTTACTGGCCAAACTGCACCGTTGGGATAAAGTCAGACAAGCTTCTGAATGCAAGGCATTCCTATTGCCACTGATAAAAATTCAATAAAATCAAGACTTAAAATGTGGCAAAATGAAAGAAGTGCCCCAGCAAAACATGCAGTCTTTTATTCTCTAAAACAAAGGAACAAGACAGCACATTACAAAAATTCTTTAGGTCTCAGTAATTTTTTACAGTCAACCACATTCCTGTGACATGCAGTCTAATTAATTTAAGTCAATCTAATAAGTAAGAACCTAGAAAAATCTAATACTTGTTTGAGTGCTTTTCTATTGGGAAATCAGTTGGAATACTTTGCTAGAGCCATCTGCAGTCTCTGGTGCAGAGATAATGTTTCAGCAGATCAGACTTACCTAGAAAAAAAAACACACGAAGTGATGATGCAAGGGTAGAAACTTATATCTGATACTCAGCTGTATTCTACATTGCTGTACCATCCACCATCAGTATTCACTTCAAGTGGAAGTGCCTGCACATGTTTCCTTAGCTAATGTCATCACAACATTTTCTTTACAGTTTCTGGCTACAAGATTCAATCCTGTTCATGCTATTCACAACATTCAGTTCTATTGACATCACTGAGATAACCAGTCATGGCTGAGGCCAGCATGACTTAAACCCAAGGACAGACAAATAGATGTCTGAGCACTGTAAATGGATACATGTATCTGACAAATTAGATAAGTGAACATGGGAAAATAGGTCTGTTCTTAATACTTGATGTTGCAAAGCCACTCACTTGGGTTCTCTTCCCTTTCTAGCAGTCTCTGTTGCATATGCATATTGATGATAGCGTTAACCTTCTGTCTATTTTTTTTAATGCTTGGCTCTATCATTACTTCTGTTAGCTTAATGTTATTTTTGATAGCCTTTGATGCTGTTGATCTGGCAACCATTGGTAACTGCTCCTGATAGTAACGGTCTGTAAAGTCAACCTCCTCATCCTGAATATTCTTAATTCTGCAAGAAGGAAAAAGACTCACAAGTTAGTTACATTATTAACAATAAATACAGAAAACCCTATCATGACTTCCACTTTTAAGGGATCTGTCCAATACTCGCTAAAGAATTCCTGCAGTTCTACAGTGCAAGTGATGCAGTTTCCATTTTTCTTCTTTTTAACGGGGGACCTCACAGTGCAGAGATGTAAAGTGACCTGGCCAAAGACACACCAAGTCTGTCTGTCTCATCCTGAATCCAAAAGATTCTGGCACCTAATCCTGCGTTCAATCAGCTGTATAATCTTTCCGCGAAAAGTGTGGGCTGCTCTTAAAAAATAATTTCTTACAGGCACCTTGTATTTCGGATCTTCACAGCAATTCACAACCGGACAATATACACAAGTTGCAGGTGGCACGGGAAATGTAGAAAGCAAGCAGAAGGAACTGAAAGGATCTGGGAGTCTTGGTAGATCACAGATCAACATGAATGCAGTGGGATGCAGCTGCACAAAATGCAAATATAGTTTTGGGATGCACCAATAAAGCATTATGTGCAAGACACAGAAGGTGATAGTGCCTCTCTACTATCTACTTAGCACCAGTTAGGCCACATCTAGAATCTCCATCACTGGAAGTGTTCAAGGAAAGGGTGAATTGACCCTGGTAAAGACCAGGGGTTTTCAACCTTTTTAAGGAGTGTATCCCTTCTGGCAGAGTGGAGGGGTGAGGGGGGTGGCTGTGGCTGGACATGGAGCAGGGTGGATGGGGTGGCAGTTTTATAGTTTCATAGTTTGTAGTTTTGGAAGGGACCTGAGCAGATCATCAAGTCCGACCCCCTGCCTTGGCAGGAAAAAGTACTGGGGTCAAACGACTCCAGCAAGGTGTTCATTTAGCCTCTTCTTAAAGACCTCCAGGGTAGGAGCCAGCAACACTTCACTTGGAAGTTGGTTCCAGATCCTAGCCACCCTGACCGTGAAGTAGCACCTCCTGATGTCTAGTCTGAATCTACCCTCTGCCAGCTTGCGACCGTTATTTCTAGTCACACCTGGCAGTGCTTGGGGGAACAGGGACTTCCGCAATGCCTGCTGGTCCCCTCTGACTAGTTTGTAACAGGCCACTAGATCCCCCCTCAGCCTTCCCTTGTGGAAGCTGAACAGGTTCAGGTCTCTTAGCCTGTCCTCGTAGGGCCTGCCCTGCTGCCCCCTGATTGTGCGAGTGGCCCTTCTCTGGACCCTCTCCATGTTGTCCACATCCCTCTTGAAGTGTGGTGTCCAGCTGCGGCCTGACCAGTGTCGCATAGAGGAGGAGTATCACCTC